CTGTGACTTTGAGCCAACCTGGTCTACACATTGAAGACAAGGACAAAGGCTACATAGTGAGATCCTGACTCAGAAAGGATAAATGGAATGGTTGTCTCCTGTGGAAGAACACAAGATTAACCGACATACAACTTAGAAAGAGGGTGGGGATGCAGTGCAGTATTAGAACACTTACCTAGCATGCATGAGACTGGGGTTCAATGCCTAGCACTGAAGGGAAAAGGTAACCAAACATGTTAAATTTAGCATGATGGTACAAGATGCCTGTAATCCCAGAAGAAAAATAATTCAAAAAAGAAAAACCTTTACTATTGGGCTGTAAGATGGCCCTGAGTTCAATACATGGGACCCTCAAGACAAAATAGAAATTGTTCCCTGACCTCCACACAGGATATGGCATGCACAGGAACACATACACACACAGAATACATGTAATTAAAAAGTATAATTATAAAATAAAAACTTTACTATAACTTGAAACGTAAGAGTTCAGAGAAAGATGCTTAGTCAGATGTAGTGGCACACACCTTTAGTCTCAGCACTCAGGATCTGAGTTTGAGGGTAGCTTAGTGTGTGTGGTGAGTATAAGTTTGGTTTTATAGTCAGATCTTCATAGAAGTACCGTCTCAAAAAAAAAAATAGAAGTGTCTGTGGGACACTTTTACTTATTTTTACATGTGCCAGTATTTTTCTTGCATGTATGTAGTAGATATGTGTACCATGTGACTGTCTAGTGCCTATAGGGGTCAGAAGAGGGCCCTCCTAGAACTAGAGTTACAGATAGCCGTGGACCATGATAGTCCTGGGAAGCCCACATTTAATCTTTTTTTATTTTATCTTTCTACCCCACTAGTCAGCTCTGTCTCACCAGCTGGCTCCCAAACAACCACATAGAGGCTTATTATTAATTATAAATGCTCAGCTGATAGCTTAGACTTGTTACTAACTAGCTCTTTCAACTCTACCATGTGGTGGTACCTTTTTCCAGTATGACATGTTCATCTCCTGCTTCCTCTGAGTCTTGCCAGCGACTCCTGTGATTCCTCCCTTCTTTCTCATTCTCTCTTTTGTCCACAAGCCCTGCCAAACCTCTACCTCCCTATCTATTGGCCATTTAGCCCTTTATTAAACCAGTGAGAACAGCACATCTTCACAGTGTACAAAAAAATTTGTTCCACAGCAGACAGGGATCTCTGTAGGCTTGGCTGCCCTGAAACATTATATAGACCAGGCTAACTTAGAATGCACAGAAATCCTTTTGCCTCTATCCCCTAAGTGCTGAGATTAAAGACATGAGCGACCGTCATGCCTGGCAACATTTAATATTTTAATAAAAGCTATGTTCACTGAGTTGTGTCATGGTTGTTCAAGTCACATTGTTCAAAAGATTGAAAATTAAGTAAAAATGCAGAGTAGTAGCTCACACCTTCATCCCAGTACTTACCAAGATAAGGCAAGGACATTTCTGCAAGTTCAAGGTTAGCCTGGGCTAGTCTCTCAAAAATTACAAAACTAAAGGAGTTTTGATAAACATTTTGTTGTTCTGTTTTATCTTGTTTAAGACAGGGTGTCATTGTAGAACAGGATTATCATCTCAGGATTATGGTCTCAAACTCATTACTTTTTTACTTCGTTGTTATTTTTAAAACAAGGTTTCTGTACATAGCTCTGGCTTCCAACTCACAGAGACCTTCCTGCCTTTGCTTCCTGAGCGCTGGGATGAAAGGCCCTTGCCACCACACTGGCTTCTAAACCTATTTTATATATACTACAATATACCAGTAGTGAGTATCAAATGAAATAAAACAGTACAATGTACAGATTTAAAAGCTTTTAACAGTGGTCAAAGGAGGCCAAAAGCATCTTACTCTACATGGGTGGGAGGTGGTGACAGCATGGCATGTTTAGGCTATAAATATGATTCATATTGTTTTGGGTTTGTGTGTGTGTATGGTGTTTTGAGAGTTTCTCTATGAAACAGCATTGGCTGGAACTCACTCTGTAGATCAGGCAGGACTAGATGGAACTCACAGAGAGTCTCCTGTCTCTGCCTCCCAAGTGCTGGAATTAAAGAATGCACCACTACTGCCTGGCCATATTTTTTTGTTTTGTTTGTTGCTTTTTGTTTGTTTCTCAGTTGGGTTTTTTGTTTGTTTTGTTTTTTTGAGGCAGGTTTTCTCTGTGTAACAGTCCTGACCGTCCTGGAACTGGCTCTGTAGACCAGACTGGCCTTGAATTCAGAGATCCACCTGCCTCTGCCTCCCAAGTGCTGGGATTAAAGGAGTGAGTGCTGCTGCCACCACACCCACCACCCCTGGGCCTGTTTTGCTACTGTTTTAGTTTTTGAGACAAAGTCTTAGTTTATATATCTCATTCTCCTAGGGCTGTGCACCATCACTTTCAGTATCGGGTCATACTCCTGTTTATGAGTTCCTCTAAAATGGGATTTCTTTTTCTTTTCCTTTTTTCTTAAACTTTCTTTTTATTTACTTTTTGTGTTTTCACACTATGCATGTCGTCCCTTTGAATCTATCTACCATCTATTCTTGGAACCTCCCCCTTTTCTTTTTCATTTTTATTTATGTGTTTGTTTGTTTGTTTTTGAGGCTGTCCTAGAACTCTCTCAGTAGACCAGGCTGGTCTCAAACTCATAGAGGTCCGCCTGCCTCTGGCTCCCATGTGCTGGTTTTAAAGCAGTGCACCGCCACCACCTGGCTTTCCTTTCTTTTTCTAGACAGTATCTCATGTATGATTTAGAATTACCTTGAACTTCTACCTGAGTACTGGAATTACAAGGATGCAATCTAGTGGTTTTTGCTTTGCTAGAGATCAAAATCAGGGATTTGTGTATGCTAGGTAAGTATTCTGCCAACTCAGCCATATCCCTAGCTCCCAAAATAATCTATTTTGAAATAGTCTCATCCCCTCCTCAACTCTTCAATAGCCTCCCATTTCCCTTTGACTCTGGAATGCTTACCTAGTTTATAAGGCATGGCTTGGCTCCGGCCTACTTTTCTGTTTTTGTTTCTCTGTATTATAGTCCTGGCTGTCCTGGAACTCACTATGTAGACCAAGAACTCAGAGAGCTGCCTGCCACCACAGCCCAGCCTCCTGCCTACTTTTACAGCCACATCTTTAGCCAAGCTCCTTGCTCTCCAATTTCCTCCATGTTCCAGTTAGTTTGTAATTTGTGCTGTCCTCACTCATATCCACCTGGTTTACTCTAATAAAGCCTAGCAAGTCCACTTGAAATATATATATATCTTGGGTTACATCCCCACATGACATTTTCTTTTTGGAGTTTTTTTTTTTTTTTTTTTTTTTTTGCTTGTATGTTGGGTGTCTTCCTCAATCATCATTTTCCATAAGTGTGTAATTTATTTTTAAGTGTATCAGCTTTGTTTGTAATGGTTTGCTATTTTTACTTTATTTTATGTGCAGTGGTATTTTGCCTGCAAGTATGTCTGTGTGAGTATTGGATTCCACTGGAACTGGGGTTAAGACAGGTGTGAGCTGCCATGTGGGTGCTGGAAATTGAACCAACCTCCTCTGGAAGAACGGTCAGTGCTCTTAACACTGAGCCATCTCTTCAGCCCAGTATATTAGTTTTTTGCCTAAATATATGTAAGTGGAACTAGAGTTACTATGTGGGTGAGCTGTCATGTAGGTGTTGGGAAGGAACCAAACCTGGCTCCTCTAGATAGTAGTAGCCAATACTTTTAACCTCTGGCCCACCATTTTATATACTGATGCAGGGTCTTTCTTGAACTCTTGAGCTTGCCCATTGGGGTAGTCTGGCCTGCCTGGGGAGGACAACTCTACCTCCCTAAAGGCTGGCTACATGTCTACCCATCACTTGAAGTGGGTGTTAGGGATCTGGATTTTGTTTTGTTTGTTGAGACATGGTTTCTCTGTGTTAGCTTTGGAGCCTGTCCTAGAACTTGCTTTGTTGACCAGGCTGGCCTCAAACTCAGAGATATGCCTGTTTCTGCCTCTATAGAGTGCTAGGATTACCATGCCCGGAGTGGATTTTTTTTTTTAATTCTTCTTTTGGTTGTTTTTGTTTGGTGTAGAGGAAAAATTAGTGGAATCATTGTATCTATAGTAAATATTAGAATGGAATAGTTTTTCATTATATCTATGGTAAACATTAGAATGAATTGGGTTTTGTTGTTTTGTTTTTTCTAGAAGTACTTAGACCTTAAAGAAATCATTGTGGAAAACAATGACTGTTTTCTATTACCTATAGAGTTGTTTTTCTCAAGGAGCTAGAGCCTTTGCATGACTTTGGTCACAAGACTATCCTAGCACACCTGGAGTGTCTTAAATTATTTAGTATTGCAGTACACAATAAGGACTAAAATTGCAGGGGTGTGGTGTTTCCTTTCAGAAAACATAGAGACCTGGGGCTTTGGTATGAGGAACTTGTTTTACCCCCCTAAAAAAAACTTGTGTAACAATAAATACGCCTTTGCACGGATGTTCGAGGTTCAATTCACAGAAACTATTCCTCTCTGCTGCCAGAGAGCATAAAATTGATCTTGGAGTGATTCTCTTTCTTTGATAGTCTCACGCAACACCGAACACCGGACAGTTTTGTTTTGGAGACAGAATCTTAACTAAGTAGCCCTGGATGACCTGGAATTCCCTATGTAGACTAGGCTGACCTTTCGTTCACATGGATCCGCCTTCTCTGCCTTTCTGAGTGCTGGGATTAAAGGCGTGCGCCATCACTCCTGGCTTGAAAACATATTTGTAACCAAAGAAAGATCAACAGTACGTGGCTCACAATAGTGTCATCGGACTAGGATAAACTTCTTCCTTTTAGCTGTCTTTCCTCAGTCGCTTACTTCCAGCCCAGGCTCTTCGGAAACTAGGTCTTCAAAAAAAAAAACATAGGCAATCAGTTCCCCAGCCCACAATGCACGCCTTTGTCCAGTAGCTGAGGAGCACCTTATCTCTAAGTACCGCCCCTTCCGCTACGATGCCTGGCTGCGACCGGAAATAAGCGGGCGCCCCGGAAGTTGAAGGGCGTGTTTTGCTAGCTTGGTTTCCTCAACATGGCGGCGCCCTTGTGTGTGGAGGTGGAGTTCGGGTGAGTGAGAACTGGGGCGTCGTGGGAATGAAATAAAGCTGTAGGGCCTGGAACTCGGATCTCACTCGACCTGCTGAGGTTACTGACGCCCTCCGTGAGCCGGGCCACTCGCCTCGCCTCTGACAGGCGCGGTCTCCCTGGACGACGAGGCCGTAAGTCCGAGAATAGAGGCGCACACATGGGCAGGAAGGTGCGCTGACAGTCCCTCCTTGGTCCTTAACGTATGGGACTCGGAGGCGTTGATAGTGTCAGGTCATCTACCAGCGTGTTTGACCAGTGTCATTACGAGCCTGACCCGCCTTGTCTGGTATTTGGGCTCCTAAGGGGAATATGAGTCTCCCTGTTAAATAATCCTTCATTCTGTCTTCGGGCGACAGTTTCCCCCTAGTTTCTTCTTGGATGAAGGTGTGGCTAAGACAGCACTCCTTTCTTTCCTTCCCAAACCGGAGAGTTTTAATCGGGCTCGAATCTCTTTCAGAGTAGTTTGATGAATGCCTTCTGTAGATCTGGAGCCCAGGTAACAACCACGGAGGGAGTCTCCAACATTGGCATATAGTGTGCACAAGATGAAAAGTCCCAGTTGGGATGCACATTGTTACTTGAAGGAACACAAAGAAAATTGAAAGTCTTCTCAGATCCTTAGTTTGTTCTCCCAGCACACAAAAGGTCTGTCATGGCCTCAAAATCTACAGAAGACATCCTTCGGAGCTGAGAACAAAGAATTGAGGCCTCTAGAGATGGGTGGTTGTGTCTAGAATCATATGGAAAAGCTGAAAGCTAGTGTGTGTGTGTGTGTGTGTGTGTGTGTGTGTGTGTGTGTGTGTGCAAGCTAAGGTCGAAGTGAAGGGGAAACTCTAGGGTAGAAATGTAAAGTTCTTTCCAAATGTGCCTTTTTCCCCATTGGATACCCCCTCCATTCTTTTATGTTTCCCTTTACTGGGTAGTTCATTCACCAGTCATTTATTGAGTGCCTACCATGTGCCAGGCAGTGAGCCAGATACCAAGGATACAAAGATAAATAGCACTCTGTCTATTCCCTACAGTGTTCAGTTTTTCTGTCCTTCGGAAGGGGTTAGTCTCATGAATGTTAAGTGCAGTTTAATTGATGATATTGTCTGGCTGCTTGGATTCAATTAGAACTACATTGGTCTGGCCTCCTGACTGTTTTTCCTCTCTGACCCTTAGCTCAGCTAACACCCTACCCTCCCACCTCCCAGCCTGGGGAGGAGAAAAAGCATCCTGCTGCCTTGATCAGATTTAGCAGAACTGAAAAGGAAGAAGCAACAGGGTCACACTGTTAATGTTTGCCCATTGCCAGCTTGCCTTTCTGTCTCAGTGAGTCAGACATGGCATTTATTCATCAGAGATGAATACTGTCTGCCAGATACTGTACTGGCAACAGCGAGGAAGTCATAAACTAAGTAAAACCCTTGCCCTCCAGAGTTTATGAAGCTACATGGTTGCTTCCTTCTTAGCTTCAGCTTTCCTTGCTGCTAAGAGCAATATTGAGCTCCAGCAGGACAGGACAACCTTCTTTTCCACCCCCACCCCCAACATAAGTGACCCATCAGAATTGCAGCTTGTGCCTATCATCCTAACACTTGGAAGCTGGGGCAGTTGGATCTCTTTAATTTTGAGGTCAGGCTAGGTTGCATAGTGAGAGACCTTCTGTAAAAATAAAATAACATGCCAAGCCCACAAACCTTTCCTCTGTCCTCCAAATTTGGTTTTATTGGGAGACAAGAGCTCATGATATAGCTCAGGCTGACCTCAGACTTTCTGTACAGCTGAGGCTGACTTTGAGCTCTTGATCCTCCTTCTTCCTGAGTGCTGAGATTGCATGCATGTGCAACTCTGTCTATCATCTTACGTGTTTTCAACCTCTGACTTTAGTTAACTATGTCACTTGACAGCTGTGCTGCTTTACCTTTTACTATGATGATGAGGTTTTCATCATGTCTGACTCACTGAGACATGCCTATTATTCTCTCCTCACGTGTCCTAGAAATCTAGAAACTGTTGCCTGTAAACCCTGGTAGACATGGTCCTTAGTGCCACCAGCTCTGTTATTTCCTTTGAAAAGTATCCAATCTTTTTTGTGGTGGTGTTTTCAAGACTGTTTTTCTGTTTAACAGCCCTGGCTGTCCTGGAACTCACTCTGTAGACCAGGCTGGCTTTGAACTTACAGAGATCCACCTGCCTCTGCCTCCTGAGTGCTGAGACTAAAGGTGTGTGCCACCATGCCTGTCTCATCTTTTTCTTGTTAGGACCAATTCTATCACCTTTTGGCATGCCTTATGAATTGTTGTTAATAGAGGTGGATTTTTTTGTTTGTTTGTTTGTTTGTTTGTTTGTTTATTTGTTTATTTGAGACAGGGTTTCTCCGTGGCTTTGGAAGCTGTCCTGGAACTAGCTCTTGCAGACCGGGCTGGCCTCGAACTCACAGAGTTCTCTGCCTCCCGAGTGCCACCACCATCTGGCTATTTTGTTTGTTTTGAGACATGGTATTCTAGATGGCCTATATCTCAATTCAGTAGGTAGCGGAGGAAGTCGTAGAACTTCTGGTCCTACCTCCATCTCCCGTGGGCTGGGATTACAGGCATGTATATCATGATCAGTTTATGAAATGCTAGAGATGGAACACAAGGCTTCTTCCTGCATGCAATGCAGACATTCTACCCACTGAACTATACTTCCCAGCCTTAACAGAGCATTTTTCAGTACACACAGAATTGGAAGGTATGTTTGGAGTACCTCCTTTCCAGGCTGTAATGACCTAGATTTGATTCCTTTCCATGAGTTTGGGGAGGTGTTGGAAAGTCTAGATATACTATTGAGATTAGAGAAGAGAAATAGTCATGTTCATTGATATGGCAAATAACTTAAAATTCCTGCTGTATGCCAGGCTTTATTTCATTTAGAGTCTATTTGTATTTTATACAGTAGATGAAAACTGTGAATGGGTAAATTTTTTGTTGTTGGTTAGTTGGTTGTTGAAGTAGGGTCTCTTGTGACACAAGCTGCTGTCCTTAAACTCAGTATGAGGCTGAAGTTGACTTTTAATTCTTGTTCTTCTGCTTCTACTTTCCAAGTGCTAGAATCATAGGCATGTGATATTATGCCTAGCTTTTATTTTTTTTCTTTTTTAAAGATTTATTTATTATGTACAATGTTCTGTCTGTATGTGTGCCTGCAGGCCAGAAGTGGGTACCAGATCTCATTACAGATGGTTGTGAGCCACCAAATGGTTGCTGGGAATTGAACTCAGGTCCTCTGGAAGAGCAACCAGTGCTCCTAACCTCTGAGTCATCTCTCCAGCCCAAATAGGTATATATTTTAAAGCAACTAGAAAAAGTGACTGAAATGTAGACCTGTCACTGATACTAACAGACACATGCATTGAGAATTGGGGTATTGAGAGAAGATGGAGTTATCTTAGTTAAGATTGAATGACAGGCAAATCCTAGAAAACAGAAGAGGATCTGGCCTTAGGTCTTTGGGGCCCAGACAGCTTGCCTGAGTCAGTCCTGAGGTTAGGTGTGTGCCTTCTCTCACTCCAGACATGCTGACAGAGTAACTACTCCCCTCCCCCAGGCCTAGCCAACCCAGCAGTGATGGGCCACTCAAAGCTTCATTGGTTCTTTCTTCATCTGTTTGAAAGAGGAAAAACAGGGGCTTGGCCTCAGAGCCTGGCACTACCAGGTTTGGCCACTCTTGATTATTTGCCTCCAGTTCCCACCCTACTTCTCTGACCCTGAAATCCTGAACCCCTTGCCTATCACCCTCCCCCAGCCCAGCTGCTGCATGTGCCAACCCCTACCCATCAGAAAATGAGGCTCTTGGAAGGAGATAAATGGAGGTTCTGTGTGGGCTTGCAGCTGAAATGGCCCTGCGCACAGCCACAGATGGGCCCTTGCTCCCCCTCCACATTTCTGCATCAACAAAGCGTGACCTTGTTTAGATGACAGTCTCCCATGTTTCCCCCATGACAGTGTTTGCCTTGCCTTTACCTCCTAGTGGGCTGCCTCAGGACATCTCTGTTCCCTGAGATTGGGAAAGGGTGGTGGGGTGGGAAACATCACATCCCATCAAAATTCTGTTAGGGCCTTCTTAGTTCAGACCCACATGAAGTCTGAGATGGGAATCAGGAAACCAGGAGAAGAAATAGTGTAGAGTACTGAAAGATCTACCGCCCACACCAGAAGTCCTGGTTTCTGAACTTGGCTTTTAGCATCTCTGTTGTCTTGACCATCCCTTAGCCAGGTGCTAAGGCACAGAAATGAACTGAATTTTGCCCTTGGGGAGCTTTCTGAAAGAGCTCTGGGGTTACTTAACTTCCCTGGGCTTCAGTCTACTATGTCAGATGGAATTAACAATGTCTGCCTCCTCCCTCTTTTGTTGGGATGCCCAGAAGATGAAATGGGATGAGGGACATCTATAACATCAAGGCGATGTGAACAGTTATGCTTAGTCAGTGCTAAGCCCAGTGAGCTCTCTCTGCCTCCATTGCAGTAGTGCATAGAAGTGAGCAGGAAGAGGGTTATTTCCACCCTTACTTGGCAGGAAATGCACAGGGTCTCCAGGGCACCCCAGAAAGGGCAGATTGGTGGTTTTTAAAATAAGATCAAGGCATGAAAAAAGGTGGCTACATGGCCAGAGGCTGACTGGCAAGCAGAGGTTGAGCCTGATTTCCTTCTTGGAGCTGGCAGCTTTGAAGCCTGTGTTATGCTGTGTACCCAACTAGCCCTCCAGAAAGCAAAGTAAAGGAGGCTGTAGGCTTGGGTCCTCCCCTAATACTGAAAATGGTTTCCGTCTTCTTTGGGACAGCAGAAAGTCATTTTGAGAGGCAGTCCCTAGTAACTAGGCTGTTCTGAACCCTGATGTCTGTATCTTTCACCTCCAGCCCTGTCCCCAGGTAGTAAACTCAACTCAGTTCTGTTAGCAGTAACTTACCCAGCTGTCTTTTTCTGGCCTTCCTTTGCAGAGGTGGTGCTGAGCTCCTGTTCGATGGAGTAAAAAAACATCAAGTCACCTTGCCTGGGCAAGAGGGACCCTGTGAGTATTGGATTTCCTGACTGCTCTCTGGGGCCACTGGGCATGGGTAGGTCTGTGGTTAAGTGGAAAAAGTCAGGATTGTCCTGGCCAAGCAAAACAAGAAACTGGAGAGGATGTTTTCCCCTCCTGGCCAGCTCTGCAAGAAGGGGTGGGAGGTTGGTCTTTACATGGGGAATGGCTGGAGCAGTGGCTCATCTGTTAGGAGCACTGGATGCTCTTGCAGAGAGCCCAGGTTTAGTTCCCAGCATCATCTATAACTCCAGTCTCAGGGGATTGAAGACTCGCTTCTCATCTCTGGGCACCAGGCTCACATGAGGTGCACAGACTGACACATATGCAGGTAAAACACTCATACAAGTCAGATGTGGTAGTGTACACCTTAAATGCTATCATTTGGGGAAGCAAAAGTAGGAAGGCCAGGTGGATCTCTGAGTTTGAGGCTAACCTGTTCCACATAGAGAGTTCCAGGCTAACCTGGACTATACAATGAGACCTTGTCTTATTTTTAATTGAGGTAGGGGGCCCGAGATAGTATTTCTCTGTGTAGCCCTGGCTGTCCTGGAACTCTCTCTGTAGACCAGACTGGCCTTGAACTCACAGAGATCGACCTGCCCCTGCCTCCCAAGCGCTGGGATTAAAGGTGGGTGCCACCACTGCCCAGCTTGAAACCTTGTCTTAAGAAAACAAAATGAGTTGGGCAGTGGTGGTGCATGCCTTTAGTCCTAGCACTCAGGAGGCAGAAGCAGGAGGGTCTCTGTGAGTTTGAAGCCAGCCTGGTCTACAAAGGGAGTCATCCCTAGGACATCCTCCAAAGCTACAGAGACTGTCTCAAAAAATAAAAACAAACAAACAAAGAAACAAAAAAGGAAAAAGAATAAATAAATAAAAACACTGTTCATATAAATGGCCCGGGCTGGAGAGATGGCTCAGAGGTTAAGAGCACTGGCTGCTTTTCCCAAGGTCCTGAGTTCAATTCCCAGCAACCACATGGTGGCTCACAACCATCTGTAATGAGATCTGGTGCCCTCTTCTGGCCAGCAGGGATACATGCAGACAGAACACTGTATGCATAATAAATAAATAAATACATAAATAAATGAAAATAAATTTCTAAAAAAAACCCCAAAAAACAAAAAACATTCTAGGCATGGTAGCACACACCTTTTATCCTAGCACTCAGTGACAGAGGCAGGAGGATCTCTGAAATTAAGGCCAACCTGTCTATTCAACAGGCTCTAGGACAGCCAGAGAGAGACCCTGTCTCAAAAAAATTTAAAAGAGGGCTCAGCAAATAAAGATGTTAGCCACCAATCCTGATAACTCAGTTTGAGCTCCAGACCCACATAGTAGGAGAGAACTGACTCCCTCAGGTTGTTCTCTGATCTCCATATGTATACAGTGGCACACGTGTGTACACATACATTAAAAAAAATACATGTAATAAAAGGGGGAGGGAATTGCACTAAACAGTAATAGCACACACTTTAAATCCCAGGCAGGGCATAGTGGTGCTCACTTTTAATCCCAGCACTCAGGAGGCAGAGGCAGCTAGACATCTGAGCTCAAGGCCAGCTTTATCTACAGTGAGTTTAAGGGCATCCAGGGCTACATCATGAGATCCTGTCTCAAACAACTGTCTCAAACAACAACAACAACAAAAATGTTTATTAAAATGCCAGTTTGGCCAGGCGTTGGTGGCACACGTCTTTAATCCCAGCACTTGCAGGCAGAGGGAGGTGGATCTTTGTGAGGTCGAGTCCAGCCTAGTCTATAAAGCTAGTTCCAGGACAGCTAGGGCTGTTACACAGAGAAACCCTGTCTCAAAAACAAAAAAATAAAACAAAACAAAAAAAACATTTTGTATTGAAGATGTAACTTAGTTGACAACTATTTGCCTTGCATGCATAAAAGTCCTTTGATCCATTCTCAGCACTGAATAAACCAGGCCTTAAACTGGGTGTGGTGGTGTGACCCTGTAATGTCAGCACTCAGAAGATAGACCAGTGTGACCAGACGTTCAAAGTTATAAAGAGTTTGAGGCTTGCCCTGGGATACATAAGAGTGTGTGTGCAAAATAAAATAGCACAAGTTACAGCTTATTTCCTCTTTTTTTTTTTTTTAAAGTGTGTGTGTGTGAGATGCCTGCATATATGTCTGGGTGAAAGTGTTGGGTCCCCTGGAACTGGAGTTACAGCTGTGAGTCATCACGTGGGTGCTGGGAAATGAACCCAAGGATTTATTTCCTCTTAAATTTTACTTGACACAAAAATATACACATTTTCACAATCCCATCCCCAAACTCACTAAATACTCAGCAAGTGTCCCTTGAGTGGTAATTATTTTATTCTTCTTGATGTTAGCATTGATGCCTTCTTTGTTCTGGTTCCTGCTTGTGACTGACCCAAGAGAGAGCTGCTATTTCCACTCTATGTAGCCCAAGCTGCCCCTTTTCCTCTGCTGACCATCACAGGCATGCCCAACTCCTGCTCAAGTCAAGTTAAAAGGTAGCTGGCAAGGGAGGGCAGGAGCTGAGCAGCAGTTCCTGGGCGCTTTAAACTGCTTAGCATGCATTTCACAGCCTCTCTGGGGCCAGCTGTTCCTTTCTCTGCTCTCCAGGCCTGTTTGCTGATCCCTTTCCTACCTCCCTCCTCTCCCCTCCCCTCCCAGTCCCTGTGCAAAATTGCTTTTGAAAAGATCCACTTTCTGCTTAATTAAACAATGAGGAGCGTCCCCTCACACATCTGTAAACCTCCTTCTGAGGCCAGTTTAGCCCACAAACTGCTCCATTCTTCCTCCCATTCACTTGTAAATGGAGCCTCTGAGGTTCCCTCCACCCCTCTTCTCTTTCATTCCACCCATGCCAGTTCTTTCTTCTCCCTTTAGCTCAGGCCTGGAGTGGGAATCCCAGAAGAGCCCTGCCTTGGAGCCCGAGCTGGTAGACTTGGTAGGGAAGGGACAGTTTAACTTACGGGCAACATTTAGGGGCCTAGATGGAGGTGAGAAAACACATTTTTGGGCATGGGCCTAATGCTCTAACAGGCCCAGGGACAGGAATGGCAGAAGACACACTTCTACATGGGAGAGAGCGGTTCAAAGGGAGCAGCCCTTGTCTCCTGAGGCTGAATGAGGCTCTGTGGCAGCCAGGGCTATCTCTACAGCTCTGAGGGGCTGGTATTAATGCTCAAAGGCAGTGGGTTCTCAACCTTCCTAACACTGTGATCCTTTAGTACAGTTATTCCATTGCTACTTCATAACTAATTTGCTACTGTTGTGTATTGTAATGTGGATATCTGATATGCCGTCCCCCAAAGGGGCCACGACCCACAGGTTGAGAACACCTGCTCTAAGGAACCCTGTTAATGTAGGTTGTCAGTATCTCCTAAGCAAGGAAGACCTACTAGGGCAAGGGGTTCTGGGTGGAGGTTCCTTTTTCTTTCTTATTTTATCTTACAAGGTTACCCAAGACCATATTTTCCCACAAAACATTTTCATGTCAAGTATATAATGTAGTTTGAGTATATTCCTTCACTTTTGTGATCCCCAGTAAGTCTTTTTGAGGTAGGTGCTCATGGAACCCAGGCTGACCTATAAACGTTCAACCTCCCAAGTGCTGGGATTACTAGCCTAGTGAGAGGTTTCATGCTTTTACTCTTAAGATGGGCACACCAAGGTTCTATGCCACTGCCACCTTTAGGTCAGGGATTCGGAATCAAGACTTGAGTCCACAGCTTAGCGCGCCCATCTGTTGAGTGTTCCCTGTGTGTTTAATGCCGATGTCCTGCTGTTAGCATTTTGCCTTAATCCTCACAGCAACCCTTTGGAGTGTGGATTATTTTCCACATTTGTCAGGGTAAATGATACCAATACATTGAGGTAAAGTGACTTGTCTGAGGCTGTCTAGCCTTCAATGCAAGCCTCTCTATTTGATCTTTAACTGCCCACCCCAAAGCAGTTTCTTCTGTTTCGTGATGGGCCAGCGAGGTCCAAGGCGTCTTGCACTGGAACTTTGCATTAGGGTACCCTCTTCTTCCCCAGCACTGAGTGCATGGCTGGGTATGGCATGCACAGCCTTGGAATGTGAATCTTCCCACACAGTTTGCACCAGGAGCTGGACCAATCTCTGCCAAATTACAGATCTGAACATCTAAAATGGGGGGAAGATGGTGGGAGTGATGGCCCTCAACAACTTGGGACGTTGAAACAAGAGTATTGTTGAGGCAGGAACTCAGGCCAGCCTGGGCAACCTGGAAAAGAAAACCAATATGTGGACCCCAAACTCTTCCTTCCTTCCTTCCTTCCTTCCTTCCTTCCTTCCTTCCTTCCTTCCTTCCTTCCTTCCTTCTTAAATTATCAATTATGTATATAGTCTTCTGCTTGTTTGTCAGCCTGCACATCAGAAGAGAGCACCAGATCTCATTATAGAGGGTTGTGAGCCACCATATGGTTGCTGGGAATTGAACTCAGGACTTCTGGAAGAGCAGCCAATGCTCTTAACCTCTGAGCCATCTCTGCAGCCCCCTTATTTTTTTGTTTTGTTTTGTTTTGTTTTCGAGACAAGGTTTCTCTGCATAGCTCTGACTGTCATGGAACTCGCTCTGTAGACAAGGCTGGCCTTTACCTAACTTAAAGAGATCTGCCTGCCCCTGCCTCCCAAGTGCTGGGACTAATTGTGTACACTACCGCCTCCCGCCTCCCTGCTATACCCTCTCCTATTTCTGTTGCTTCCATCTGGCTTCCAATGAGCACATACCATATCCCACAGAAAGCCCAAGAACTACCTGATTTGTGGTACACCTCTCTCTAAGGCTAGGGTTTTGGGTGAAGGCAAAGCATGTAGAAAGCCAACGTATTTGAGAGTCCAGAGGAGATAGCTTCTTTCCCTGGATTCAGGAATAATTGATAGTCTAGGCACAACTCTAAGAGTGTCTTATTTGATCCTTATAACAATACATTCTTTTTTCAAAAAAGTTTTTTTTTTTCAATTTTTATGTGCTTTGCCTAAATATAAATCTATGCACCATGTGCATGCTTGGTACCCATGGAGATAAAAAAAAAGGTCATCAGATGCCCAAGGACTGAAGTTGTAGATGATTTTTTTGTTTTTTGTAACAGCTCTGCCTGTCCTGGAACTGGCTCTATAGAACAGGCTGGCCTTGATCTCACAGAGATCCGCCTGCCTCTGCCTCCCAAATGCTGGGATTAAAGGTGTGCACCACCGCTGCCTGGTTGTAGATGATTTTGAAATGCCATATGGGTGATTAGAGTCAGACCCTGGTCCTCTGCAAGAGCAGCTATCTTTTAACCATCTCTCCAGATCTGTATTCTTTGTTCAAAATTTTTAAAATTTAGTTGTGTGTGTGTGTGAGTGTGTGTGTGAGTGTGTGTACCTGCCAGAGGAGACCAGAAGTGGGTATCAGATCCCTGGAGCTGAATCGAAGGTGGTTGTGAGCTACCCAACATGGTGCTGGGAACTCTTTCTTTGGAAGAGTAGCAAGTACTCTTAACTACTGAGCCTTCTCTCCAGCCCAGTAACAACGCAGTCTCACCTCTTCCCCCCCCTCCCCTGTTTTTTCTTTTTAGTTTTCAAGACAGGGTTTCTCTGTGTAACAGTCCTGGCTATCCTGGAACTCACTTTGTAGACCACGCTGGCCTCAAATTCACTGGGATTCACCTGCCCACCCACCATTTATTTATTTATTTATTTGTTTGTTTGTTTGTTTATTTATTTATTTTTAGAAAGCTGAGGCTCTGAGAATTCCTTTCCTGAGGTTATATCACTAGGAAGGAATGGAGTCCAACTTAAAACTAAAACTGGCAGACATGGTATGCACACCTGTTATCCCAGGATTTAAGAGATGGAAGCTCCAGGCTTGGGATTTCTCAGCTACATAGCAAGTTTAAGGCTAGCCTGGCTAATGAGACTCTTGTCTCAGGTAAACAATTATGACCGTCACCTTCTCCGCTTTCTTCATGTGTTCCATTGGCATCTTAGGGTAGAGCTGTGAGAGCAACTCAAGACTCCACTCGGGGAATGGCAATACTAGTGCCATGTTATGTGGCAGGACAGAGAAGCTTGGAGACTGGGACCAGGAGACACACACACTTTATCAGTACCACTAGGGTTTGGGAAGGAGCAACCTCATTTGGAGCAGGCCTTTCCCGGTGCTCTAATGCTGTTCTTTCTGCCTTCATTTTGCTGCCTTGAACCTGCCTGTTGTATGGTGCCTCAGCTCCTCCCATATGTGTTTCCTTCTGTCCAGAGTGCTTCCCCCACCCAAGCCCATTCATCCTTCAGGCCTAAGCTTCAGTGTTAACACTCTTGGAAAGGCTTTTTCTGGTCCCAAAGGAGTTAGCACGTACCACAGCTAATTAAGTAATGTCTGCCGCCTCTGCTGCCCTCTCACAAGGAAGGTTCCATATCCATTTTGCTGGCCACCATCACCCTAATGCATGGCACAGGGTAGTTGCTCAATAAATGTTTATCTTGTGAATGGCGGTTGCAGGAGGGAGAACATGCTCAGGAGGAGTGGGATGGAAGGAAGGAAAATAGTGAGTGGGAAGGTAAAAGTAAGGTTCTTACCCGCCATCTATCCCAGAGCCACCCCAAGCTACCAGTCCCTGACTCTGCTTAACCCTTCCTCCTCCCCTGGGTGCCTTTGGAAGCCGACCATCTGGCTTGGAACCTATTTGCATATTGTCTGGGCCTCAGCAAGCCAAGCAAGTTGTCCCCGGGGGTGCATTTCAGGCCAGGCTGAGTGGCCCTTGCAGCCTGAGAAGGGAGCCATGAGTTCCACCTCTCCCCACCCCCAAATCCAGGCACAGGGACAATACTGGCTGCTGTGATGCAGCAGCCTCACCATGGTAACAAGCTATCAAAAATGTAGGCGGGCCTGGAGTGGGGAGCAGGCAGAAGAGGAGGGAGTGACCTCAGCAAATAGGAGCATCATGATAAATGAGGCAGCACTGGGCAGCAGATTCATCCCCCAGCGACCTCTCTGGGAGTCCATGACAGTGTCATCACGTGGGTGACCCCAACATGACCACTATCCCTCCTTTATTCCCAAGCTACCTAGAGTAGAGCAGAAACACCCTCTTTGGAGGGAGCCAGGGCTATTCCCCAGAAGAATCCCAATTCTGTACCAGCAAGCCAGGATTATCACATATAGCCTGTGGTCACTGAGCCAACCTCTTCCCAGTTCTTAGTGTTCAAACACAACAAGCACAGCGCTGGCTGCTGAGGCTGGCTGATGCCTGGCTGATGGATGTGTCAGACTCCAGTAGTTCTATCGAACAGCCACAAGATGAATGGGCTGGCGCCCCACCAGACAGTGTCAAAATGGAGGCCAATGGGATTCAGGGCCAAAGGGAAGCCTCTGCAACTGAGCCTTGGGGAAGAGTCCACTTAGAGTCCAAGTTTATCTTGAGGGAGGCAGCACCCTTCTTCCTCTCCTTGGGGACTACATATTTGCTTAGTTAAAAAGGAATTTTAGCCAGGCTATGCTGGCACACACCTTTAATCCCAGCGCTCAGGAGACAGAGGCAGGCGGATGTCTGTGAGTTTGAAGCCAGCCTGATCTACAGAGCTAGTTCCAGGACAGCAGCCTACACAGAGAAACCCTGACTCCAAAAACAATAACAAAAAGAATCTTCAATTGGGAGATGGCAGTTTTGGTCCATGAACACTGTTTGTTGCCCTGTGGGATGTTTGTGTCCAACAAAGAAAGGACTGGTTTATCTACACTGGGCCTCCCCTCCTCTAGGCCCTCCCTCCCCAAGGCTAGGTTTGATGTGCACTACAATGAGGAGCTCAATTCTACAACACTGACTCAGGACAAGCCCTCTATGGCTTCCTAAATGCTAGTTGTTTCTCTAGGACCTTTGTTCTCAAGTCACCTGTGAGAGCTGACCCTTCAGGAGAGGAGCCTCAAAAACAATCTGAGTGAAGAGTGGTGGAAGTCCTTGGTACCATGGCCTTTATAGATGCAGACCAGTCTCAGTTTGCTGTGGGCTGGTCCCCTGCTCCTAAGAAAGGCTGGTAATCCTGGAGACCACTTCCTCCACACGCTGTAAAAAGAGACTGGTAGCCAGCCCAGAGCCTGTCCCAGGGAGGCAGCTCTGGGTGTTCCACAGAGCAAGACAGGTCTTTGCAGCCCAGAACCTCTTGCTTTGGCAAGGTGGCCATCCCCCACCCCTCCCCACCCCTGGGGCACTGCAAAAGTGGGGGTAGTGAGCAGTGATTTGTCAGTGTCTGCCTGGTGAGGAGCCTTCTCTCCCTCTGCTAGAGGAAATTAACTGATGTTATCGGCTCAGCAATTGTTTTTCTCCCCTCACAAAGGGAAATATATGCAGACCCTGCCTGTGAGCAAAGCTGAGGCCTCCCTCGCTGGACTGGCAAGAGAGATAAAGATGGCAGCGGCTCTTTGATGCCCTCCAAGCAGACTTGCTGAGGGAACATCAGCCCCGCTCTGTCTCTGAGTTTTTTTTTTAAATCCTTTTAAATTATGTATACATATGTGTGGGCATATGCATGTCAGGGTAAGTGCATGCAGAACTTAGAAGAGGGTATTGGATCCCTGGTAACTGGAGGCATAGGTGACCATGAGCCACCCACCCAGTGTGAGCGCTGGGAACTGAACTTGGATCCTCTGAAAAAGCAGTACCTCCCCTTCACCACTAAGCCATCTCTCCAGGCCCTGTCCTTGAGTTCTTTGTAGTTCCTCCCACTGTGCCTTCAGCTGTGCAATGACCACTTTCTCTGAAGTCCCTTCGGACAGCCTTTGGCCTCTCCTAAACAAGTTTCTGGGCCCTGTGAGCCCCAGCGTTCACTTTCTCCTTTCAGGCAAGGCTTTGGGGCCTGGGAATGAGTTGGGTTTGACCTTGGTTTTTGTTCTGTGCCTCCCTCTCTAGGGGACATCCGGAACCTCCTTGTCTGGATCAAGAAGAACTTGCTAAAAGAGCGGCCAGAGCTGTTCATCCAGGGAGAGAGTGTGTGAGTTCCCTGCCCCTGTCTCCTGAGCAAGGCAGAGAGAGGGAAGGCTGTCTAAACCTACATCTTATGCTCTTGAGTCCTCTAGCCCTCTATTTTCTCAAACTGCTGTAAGGAAAAAGCCATGCTCTAGTCTGTTTCTAGTTTTCTTCTGCTTGAGGTTCTTTAAAGCTCACATGAAAGGAGCCTGGTAAATTTTCCCAAAAATTAGGAATGCAGCAACTTAGGTGAGTTACTTTGCTTCTCCTGACCTCAGATATCCTCTGTACAGAAAATACTAAGAAAGCCATACTGCCCAAGGTCTTACTGGTCCTGACCTAGGACAGTTGTCCCATAGGCCTTTCCTCAATGATAGAAGCATTTTTTATCAATGCTGTCTGGTGGTAGCTGCTGCCACTTGTGTTGTGCCTGGTTAAACCCTCAAGGTCGGCCAGTGTGACTAAGAACCTAAACACTCCATTTTAACTGGGTGTGGTGCACACCTGTAATTCCAGCTCTTAGTCAGAAGCAGGTGAATCTCTATAAGTTTTAGGCCAGTCTGGTCTACATAGAGGGTTCTAGGATAGCCAGGGCTACATAGTAAGATTTGTCTAAAAAAAAAAAAAAAAAAAAAAGAGGCTGAGGAGGGAGGATGGCCACAAGTTTGAGGGCAGTCTAAACTGCATAGCAAGACAGTCTGGAGAGATGGATCAGAGATTGAAAGCAAGTACTACTCTTCCAGAGGACCAAGTTTGATTCCCAGCACCCCACATCAGGTAGCTCACAACTGCCTGTCACTCTGTCTTCAGCTCTGACGCTGCTGTACCTGCACTCGAATACACACACACACACACACAGATAATTAAAAATTAAATAAATAACACTCGAAATACTCCATTTTCTTTCTTTGTGTGGTCAGTAGGTGCAGTGTGAGGCATCACAAATACACATAGCTCCCTGCTGTTCCAGCCTGCTAGCAAAAACCCAGGCTTCTCCTGCCAAGCCATCCACTTTTAAACAAGGATGGTTTCCTGTGCAAAAGAGGCAGGCCATGAAATTGGGAGACTTTCTTCTGTCTTCAAGAATGGGTTACCCTGTGGGCTAGGACTACTCTCCAATCTCCAGTTTCTGGCACAGCAGTCCTGGAAGCCACCTGCATGGACATCAGTGTTCCCTGGACCATTGCCAGTAGGAACCAGGACTGACTCTCAAACATTTAGGTGCCTATGCCACTGGTAGTGTTCTTTGGCCCAAAAGAGCTGAGCTTGCCTCCTCTAAAATAGGCATCCTGGAGTCCTAGAAGCCAAAACCCTTACTTTCCAGAGCCTAGGAGAGTAAGATTAGACACTAGGAAAAGCAGGTTCCTCTTGCTGGTTGCTGAGACATAGTGGCAAGCAAGCCCTGCACACCATTTTGTTATATTCCTCAACAGTCCTTTTGGGCCAGACCTTGTAATTGGCTCTGTTTTCACATGAAGAAAAGTAAAATGCCTTCCCTGAAGTCTAGGTGTTAGGCGATGCTGACCCTTGCCCATTTTCTTTAAGATACCCTCAAAATTGTGATTGTCTGACCTGGTTTCCTGACCATGCAGACTGGTGTCTGCTTGTTGGGAAATGGGGAGGAAAGTTTCCCCCATACTCCTGCAATCCACAGGCTCTAAGCCTGCTGCCTTCCATTTCCTGCCCTTCACTACCCTCTTTCCCACAGGCGGCCAGGAATTCTGGTGCTGATTAATGATGCCGACTGGGAACTGCTGGTCAGTACCTCCAATAACACTCTTCCCCAGCTCCTGCCTTCAGTGGGAAACCCTGGGCCTCTCTGATCAGGTCCGAGCTGGGAAATCTGTCTCATTCATAACCCTCCACCCCCACCCCAGGGCTATTCCTGTCTTTCATCTCAAATGAGGAGGAATTGAATGTCTGCTGGGGAGGGAGGCAGGGAGCTCACCCATCCTGGAGATTTGAAAGTCCATGTGTAGAATCTCCATTTTTCTGGTGAGATTTTTCTTTGATCCCCAAAACAGTTACCTTTACCTTTCTCTCTTCCCTATCCCAATGCCTGGCAATTACCCGGACCATGTTCTTCTGATGGTCCTTATTCCTCTTTCCTGCCCCAGGGGGAGCTGGACTACCAGCTGCAAGACCAGGACAGCATCCTCTTCATCTCCACACTGCACGGCGGCTAAGGGCTCTTGTGAGCCCAAGCACCTTTGCAAGGGGAGCACAGGACAACCACACCTCCTCTTGGACACTACTTCTAGGTCCTCAGTCCCCCTTGGCTGCCTCTTTCTCTGCTGTATCCCTGAGCTCCCTCTAGGCAGAGAAAAGAGGCCAGGTGCTAAAAATGAGCCTTTCTGGGCAAGGCACATGAGCAGGGAAGGAGAGCAGATGCCTGAGCCCAGCATTCCTTCTAGCAGTTGAGGTGGGGGAGGGTGCTCCTGTGATATGTCAGGAGTGGAGGGAGCTCTATGCCCAGGTGACCCAGCTGCTTGCCACTCCTTGTGTCTTGGTATATCTAAGCACTAAGTAACTAACTGCCTGGAAAGCACTCCATTTCCTGAGACATCTTCATGGGCAAGATGGATGAACTGGAGTAACTGATGAGAAGCTCCTCTCTTGCCAAAGATTAGAGGGGCCTCCGCCTCAGTTTCCCCATCTGGACATTGAGGACTCTGCTTGGCCCCTACTGATGTCATTATGGATCCCCAGCTGGGGTCCCCTATTCAGTGCTCCCCTCCCTCCCCTCCACCCAGCAGCTGCTCTCCTAGCCACACCCCTCCTTCTGCCCCCCATCCCCAGCCCTTGACCCTGGCTGGCCTTCCCCCCCCCCCTTACATAGGCCACCAGATGGGCTCCTGAGACACTCTCCAGGCTGCCTACAACTCCCTCTGCTGAGGGTAGAGAATGGAAGTAAGTAGCCTAACCTTAGACAGTGGGCAGGGCCTCAGTGAGTGTAACTCCCAGCTTCCTGAGACAGGCAGGGTTTGGGTGTGCAGCACCTGGTAGATAGAGAGCTGTGCCCCTCCATCCCTTCTGAAAATCTGAGGACATTGTGCCTACGACAGCTGACCTTGGGCAAATAAAAAGACTAGATTGTTTACTAGCCTTGCTTGAAGCTTCATCCTTAGAAACTGGAGGTACCCTGTATCCCTAAAAATCTCTGGTCTCTGTTCTGAGCCAAGGGCCTTCACCTGAAAAGCTAACACATGAACTGTTCCAAAGAGGGTGTTTCAGTAGGGCCATCTGGAGAAGAGAGTGTACAGAGACACACAGCAATCAGTCTAGATCCTCAGCCATTCTCACCAACCCAGTCTAAATCTAGGCTTTGTTCTGCCAACTGCAGTCAGCAGCCCCAGAACCCACAAGAGGGGTGGCCTGAGTAAGACTGCTGAGCCCCATGACTTGGAGGAAAAAAGCTTCATCTGACCGAAAGTATTGCTTTTCATGAAATGTCAGTAAGGCAGAATTTCTTACCTACATACACGAGAGTGCCTAATGTTGTAGGCCAGTGTTGGGGAGTAGAGAGCACATTGCCCCTGGTTAATGAGCTGTTCCCAGGCACTGCCACAGGGCAGACCCTTGGGCTTGTGTGGGTGGGAGCAGCCATGTTGGGGTTACTGGTAGGGACTGTCTGGGAGCAGATCAAGGCCAGCGTTGGCTCCAAGTGCTGTTGAGGCTGTGCTGATGTTAGGTCTTGTCATCATTCTCACAGCTTGTCATTTTTAGAGGATCAGCCTAGTTCACACTCCCTTCCTGCAGTACCTCCTGGGCTTCAGCTACTGGTCTAGGATGCCTTCTGCAGCTGAGGGGGTTAGGGGATTTCCCATCTGCTATGGCACCCCAGTTACTGCTGAGCATTTAGAAGGATGTGTTGAGGAAAGCAGCTTTCCCCATCCGGAGTGCCAAATTGGCTGGACCCATTCACCATAGTCCATTCAGGTCATTTCAGTTTCTGGCAGAAAGGGGTCAGAGACAAGAGACTCAGCCCGTCAGCGCCCGACAGCCCCACTCCCATGCGAGTCAAGGCCCATTGCTTTTGAGGAAATAAACAAGTCCCACTACCTTCGAAGATTTTTCTTTAATGAAAAGGATTCGTTTGTCCAAGTTCTTATTTCCAAAGCCGAGGCGGTTGCCCGGCTGGAGCGCATCATTCCCCAGCTTGTCGGTTTCTGGCAGCGGTGGGAGGCTCAGCCCATCAGTCGGTCCAGAGGAGCTTGTGGGAGGGGTTGGTTGGTTGGTTGGTTTGGGATATACGGGTTGATTTGGGATTTTTGTTGTTGTTGTTGTTGGTGGTGGTGGTGGTGGTGTTTGGGAGTACTGGTTAGGGGACAGGCTGGAACAAATTCAAAACGAGTTAGCAAACGAATTCTGCAGGCATGTGTTTTCACCCCCCGACTAACTGCGGCTGCGGCCAAGGACTGACTGCACGAACCACATTTGGGTCCCGCCGTTGTGTGCCAGCTTCTTCACGGCTGAAATTGGAAAATGGAAAGCCGATGCGATCAACTGGAGGATGCTGCCAGCCGACACGGGTCACCCACAGAGGAGGAGACGAAGGAAGCAGGCGAGGATGAGGATGGCGGCTCTGGTCGCAAGAACTAGCTAGTGTCCCTTCTTTGCGTGCCAGTTTGGGGCCACTGTGCCTGTGCTGGGACCTGCCAGCCGCTGCCCGGAGTCTCCTAACCCCAGCAGGGACCCGGTTTCTGTTGAGCCCGGAGCTCAACCACAGATGTCCAGCCACAATTCTCGGTTGGCCGCAGACTCGTACAAGAATTGCGTTTGGACAATCAGTGGCGAAGCCCCTGAGTTCAGGGCCCCCGTCTCCTGTGGGGTTCTGCCTGGCTCCTTAAAAGCGCACAGCAGATCTCGGGAGCTGCGCGTCGGAATACCTTGCAGAAGCTCATCAGTCGCAGCCCATCGGCGGTAAGGTGGATGAGCGGGCATGCAGATGCCGGCCCTGCGCGGGCATCCCCATCGCCCCCAGCGTGTTTCCTTCCATCGTGGCCAAAAGTCCCTAGAGTAACCTGTGTTGTGTTTATGGGCCACCCAGCTTGGAGAAATACCCTGTCAGGCCCAGGGAACCCTGACTCCCCTCTCCCCGCCCCCAGACTGGTTTCTCCGGGAATCCAGAAAACTGGGGCCCGAGACTGGTGGCGTCTCTGAGCCCGGGGTCTAGGGTGCTGGACTTAACGGGCCCCCTCCCCCGCCCGGCCCCACGAACGCACCAGCTCGGGCGCTCTCTGCTTCCTTGTGGCTGAGTCGCGGGTGGCGCTAGCCCAGGCGGCGGGGAGCGCCGGAATGTGCCGCCGGGTCACCTGCAGCGCCCAGGGAGCCGGACCGGGAGCCAGCATGCTGGCGAGGTGCAGGGCTGAACCCGAGCGGGCGCCTCTGGCGGCTCGGGGCCGGGGCGGGCTTTTAGTGGGCCGCTCCAACAATACGGGCCTGGCGCGGAGAAAGGGGCTCGGCTGCAATTGGTACTGGATTTGAATAACGCCACGGGGCCATCAATGGTCATTGTGTCGACGGGTAATGAATCTCCGCTGTCTCTCGGGCTGGCCAGGCAGCTGCAACCTGCGCTCAGGCAGCTCTTAAAGACATAGCATGCCCCTCCCTGGGGGCCACCACCCCCCTGCACCGGCCGGACCCTGTGCCCTCCCACCCCCACTCAGCACCCTCCACTCTCGATGCCCCGCCTGCTCCCTCAGCCTGACCCCTTTGCCGGTGGCCCCCTCCCTCCAGGGCCAGGCACCCACATCTCGGTACTGGATTCTGGACTTGAATCTGTCCTCTCTGAGCTTGGCTGAGCTCCCCAAGAATGCCTAGAGGACCCCAGATAAAGTATTATCTGTAGTTTCTGGAGTCCTCAATCCTTGAGGCTCCTTCCCAGGGTTTTCTTTGGAATGTGAAGGGGTAACAGTCTGGAGGTCAGAGGGTTATCATTCCCCCCTTAGAACGCTCATCTGAAGAATAAGGGAAGCCTGTAGTCCCAACCAACACACTGAGGATGAGGTCTCCAGAGACCACACCCCCAACAGGAATCTGGACAAGGACAAGGACTTGATTCTCAAGTTCCTGAACACCTAGCAGCAACACCAGCGATGAGGGGAAAAGGTGGGTGTGAAAGGGAGAACAATCTGTTAATGTTTGTCTCCTGTGTCTTCCTTCGGATGGCCCACCCATCCAGAGGTTCAGGAGCTCTAATGTACCTGAGCAGGTCTGATCCAGAAAAGGTCCAGTCTGCTGGCTACATATCACACAGATTCTCATTCCAGGGCTCAGCCTGGCTTCCCTAGTGAGTGTCACACCCCAGAGGGGAATGAGGAATGAGTGGTGGCAGCTTCATGCATCCTGCCTTCTATCCATCCTAGGATTCCTCGAACATCCTACTCCTCCATGGCACACTCAGCACGTTTACCATGAAATAGTCTCTTCTTCTCACCCTGTGGGCAGCCTGGCGTGTGCTCAGCTGCACTGTGATTGTAAAGTTGTCTGATTGTCCTCGATAGCACAGGAAGTGGGTCCGGTGGATCTTTGTGGCTCTGGATCTAATCTCCTACAGTGCCTTCACTCGACCACTCATTAAATGTGTGTAGGTTGTTTGCCTGTCCTGTGACTTAAAAATCAACTACAGACTTCTGGAGTTTTTCTTAACAAAAGTTAACAAACTATAACTTATGGGTTTATAAAAAAAATCTCAACTCTGGGAATGTTCCCCTTGATGCTGACAGTGTCCAAAACTAAGTGTCTGTAGTCTACTACTCAGGGAAACTGAGGTAGGAAAGTCACTTGAATCCAAGAGTTCCAGACCAACCTGGGTAATATACCAAAACTCCATCTCAGATAATGAGTGGGTGATTAAGAAAGGTGACATCTTGCTGGCTTCTGGCAACAACCTGGGAAGTAGGTATATATATCATCAGGCCCATTTTACAGATAGAGCAGCAGACCTGTGACGAGGAGCCAGCTGGGAGGGAATGGAAACGGGGTTAGAACCTAAGATTGTGCAACCTATTACAAACTATTTCCTAGTCTTTCCTTACTTAGCAGATGCAGAGGACAGACTCTGAGTATCCTCAGAGCTGTCAGCATTGGTGGTGCATGCCTTTAATCCCAGCACTGGGGAGGCAGAGCCAGGTAAATCTCTAAGTTCGAGGCCAGCCTGGTCTGAGTTCCAGGACAGGCCACAAAGCAATACAGAGAAACTCTGTCTCGGAAAATAAAAAACAAACAAAAAAATGTCCTCAGAGCAGTGGCTTCTAGGAGACACTGCTTAAATTATAATCCATACAGTCTGGTGTGAACACAGCCTGGGTGGGTTGGGCATGAAATTCCGTAAGAATAGAGAGCAGAAAAGGGCTTTTCCCTTCTTCCACCTTCTCCACAGCCCTGAGGCAGCTGCCCTCACTCTTACTATTAACCTCAGTAAATCCTGCCTCTGGTCATTGCACATTTATGGAGTGCCTGCCCTGTGGTAGTCAGGACAGCAAAGCACAGGCATTCCCAAAGCCAGTATACAGCTGAGGCATATCATGGAGAACGAAGACCAGAGAAAGTAAATTGGAGATGGACACTGCAGGGGCAGAGATTCCAGCAGCTCCAAAGCCAGCAGGCAGAAAATATCATTACAAGTTCTTCTGAGTATCGACTAGAGATGGGATGCCCGGTGTCTGGAGCTCAGGGAGTTTGAGATGAATCTGAGGCCCATCCTGCCAAACCTAGTAGGACATTGGGAGGATCTGAGATTTCACCCTGAATGCCACGGGATCCCGAAAGGCCATAGACAGACAAGTGCCCATTTACTTGTTTAGATGTGCTGGGGATGGAGTGGGGAGGGGAAGGAGAAGTTGAGTAATCTGATCCAGGCCATTTAAGCTTCTGCTGCTGTGCTGTGAAAGCTGGTAGTATCAGAGCAGGGTCTGCACTGACACTGTTAGTGAGCACTGTGTGAGTACACTGACAGCCAACTGTTTCTATCTAGCCAGCCCAGTGAAAGGAGCAGAGCCAGGGGAAACACTCTGATTGGCAGATTTCTCCGGAATTACAAAAGGCAGAGAGTCATTCCAACAAGAAGACATGAGAAAACTTATGAAAAAAGCAGCATTA